TATCCCTCGCTTGTACTCCAAATAAAAAAAAAAAGTGTAAAAGTTTCAGCTTTTTTTCCCCATTACCACTCGGAATTTAAGAAAAAGAACGGACACAAGCGGAGACAAGGAGCTCAGGAACACGGCAAAAGCAACCCACATGAAAGGAGACAAGGGGAGACAAGGAGCCCTGGAACCCGGCAATGGCAACCCGGCAATGCTTTGAAAGAATTGAGAACCCCTACAGTAATACTGTTTGGGGAAAATCAACAAAGTCTCAGTCAATATGAGGCGCACCATGGGGCGAAACTCGTTGCAGAGCATCAAGGCTCAAGAAAATGTTTTCAGAATTCGGCTGATCAAGAATAACTTGAGCATATTTCTCTAAGCCTCTAGGCCAAGCCAAGCTGTGAACCTTGGCCCTGCAAACGCCATCGTTGTCACTGCTGATGCTCGCCATTGCGCGTCCGTGGAGTCAATGCCAGTTTAAGCGACAGGAACTTGCGGGAACTTCTACGCTGCGTGCCTCGGCAATGGAACTTGACACGTAACATGGTCCAACAGCTGGTCTATGCATTTCCAGAAAATGACGTTTACAAACGTGGCGTTGCATAGCTTCTGAACTCTATAGTGCACTCGACTTCCAGAACCGCTGCACGGGCCTTCTTCAGATTTGGGGCAGACTGCATTGCGCAGAATGCTCATGTACACCGCGCACATCCATTTGTGATTTGACACCGACGCCATATCTACCACCCTGTCATATGTGCCGCCTTGGCTGAACTTCGTGCGCTGCTTCTGCCTTCGTCTCAAAGTCTGCCCTGCTTGGCCACGAGCTCCTGCAAAGATCTGAACCCCGCTTCTGGCTTTCATGTTAACTTCTGCCCTGCTTTGCAGCAGGGTCCCGCGCAGATTTGAGCCGCCCTCGCTGGATTCGAGTCCAGAGTGCTAACCGTTAGTTACACCACAGGACCACTTGTCGCCCATATGATGCATTTTCCTTTTTTTGCCCGGCCCTTTCGCCCCGCCGGTAAGTTGGATCATGTCCATTTCATGAATCCCTGAACTGGGCCCAGCTGCATTTATGTTGGTTTCAACTCACAACACATGGGCGTGTCAAGAACCAGGGGCATCGCTCACGCAAATGAAGCCATGCCTGCGCAACAACCATCAACAATCCTTTTACATTTTACATCCTTTTACCAGCAAGGCGCAGCTGCCATGCGGGCTGGCTGAAGCTTTCCTACCTCTCCAGATCACGAAATGCATATGTAATAAGTTGGCATGCCAAGCGGTAATCCCGCGTGACCACGTGTCCAATAAAGTGCCACGTCGCAGGCAACAAAAAAATGCGAGATGCGTAGATGTGAACAGGTCCACCACCCCCTTGCTTCCTAAACTGCATTGCCGCGCTGCTCAAGCCGCCAAAGCCACCAGGCACAGCAGACGTGGGACCTTCGCAACAACATCTCATTGGTGCATCAGCGTTAGCCAAACTACGTATGGCTCGAAGGTCTAAATGGACCGACCGCATTTTAATGAACTCTTGCACACTTGGGCGGCCGTCGCCGCTGTCTACGGTTCGGGCGCGCATCTTCATGCTTCACTGACTTATGAATATTGACGATGGCCTGCGGAGATCTGCGAGTCTTGATTTCCCGTTGCTCCATTGCACGGGTTCAAGGCAAGGAATCCACGCGAGAAAGGCGAAATTTGCATGAAAACACCCGCGAGACGCATGAGTTTGTACTGCAGCCTGCTGCTGTAACATGCCTGCGGGTGCACAAGACGATCAGCATGTTGAAGCCATGTACACGAGACGACTGCTTGGTGAGGACTACTTGCATGGGCGACCCCTGCACTGCCAATACAATAGCCAGGTGGACCGACCCACACATACAAAGTAAGCAAGTTTTGAGGTGTGTCCGGAAGACAGCCAAATACGGCCAACATCTGGAATTCGAGCAGGCCATCCCACATGTCCGCAGGTGTGCAAGACTTTGGTGTGTCTTTGCCACAAGTCAAACATGTTTGTCTTTGCACAAACAATAGGAGAGAGAGCCTTGCGAGCAAAAACAACACGGGGCGGCACACGGCGCATGCGGCATCATGCAGCTCAAACAGTTTTGACGACAGCTGACCGTTGTCCGCACCTCAGGTCATCTCAGCCGGAACCAATCAGTTATTGCAACAAACAAGTCAAGAGAAACTTTCCGATAGCACCCTTCACAATATTTTCGTGACGTATGCTGTGCATGAGCCTCCCGGGAAGAACGAAAATCTGTTGTGCCAGCAGGAGGGATACCTTATTTGGCAGGGACTTATCCTCAAGGGCGCGAGCAAGTGTTGCCACTCTACGAGGTTGTTCCATGTCCTGTAGAGTTTCAAGTAAGCAAAGTTCACGTAGGTTGGGCTGCATCGCACCCCAATCCCTGCTGCAACACAGACAGTGCTTTAGAACAAGCCCACGAACCCTCAAGACAGAAGAACGTAGGACACAACACGGCCCACGGAAGTCAAGATATTTTGACAGGAGATCACATCCCGACAGCCAACAAACGCCAGCATATGGTATGCAAGCCACGCAGAGCAACCTTTTGCACTTTGCAGCCGTCGTGGCGGATGCCCTTCCGGGGCCAGTCATGAGCCTCGTGAGCGCTAGTTTCCTTGCACCCCGTAGCCACAGACCGTAAGGAGCCCACCAAACAGCCAAGTGGTCCGTGTAAGTAAACAGCACCGCTTTACAATCTAGGCCGCGAAGGCTGTGGGAAGCAGCAACTCATGCTATGGACAGCGCCAACATGCAAGTTTTGAATGCTGTTGGACACACCTGCCTCAACCTACCTCAGCACCTTCGTGGATGCTCACAGAAACGGAGCAAGATGGCGCAACGGTGGGAATAGGAATTCCTGGTAGGCCGCGTCTAAGTTGATAGGCCGTGTTTTGGTTGCTGCTTGTGCCACTCAGGCGTGAAAAGTGTCCAACTTTTGCGCGAGGTGGTGCAAGGGCGGGTGCAAGAGAGCTCTGCCGACAGAGCAATCATAAGTCATAAGTAGCAGAGTTTGGAAAAGCATCCACTTGAGCGCCAGGGAGGGCCAAGTATGGAATTTCTGTGCAGGCTGCAAAAGTGGATGTAGCTGCAGCATGCTCGTTTGTCTTGATAGCTTGACTTCCTTCGCTGAGGTTCATTGGTATCGTGCAGAAGTATGTATTTGAAAGTGCTGAAAGGAATAATAAAGAGAAACTGCGTTTTCTTGTGTGAGCCATGATGGAGCCTTGCTTCCGTGATCAGCTTACAGTAGCCAGCAAAGTCCATGTGAGTTAGTTACTGGCTCGAAACGCCATTGTGGGCCCTACCTCCCCTCTTCACAAATTCTCAGACGCGATGTTTCAGTATACTTGACTTACAAGTAGTCAAAACATACCAAGGCGTGAAGACGAAGGGCAAGCCAAGCGCAGGAGTTCGAAGGCCCCTGAACCGCCAACATAGCAGAGATGACTCCACCGTCGCGAGCCTCAAGCCAAACAGTGCCGAAGACTGTTCTGAAGTCATATATGGCAGGCCATCGCTCGGCAGGCGCTGCCATTACCTGCTGTATACTCATGCTTGCGACTTGGAGAGCATTTGCCAGAAGAGTCCATATTTTGGCAGGAGCAACGCTGGATGATGCTTCCCAAACGCCCGTCTTTGATCTCCGTACAAATGAGATTACATGATACGACGCGATCTCAATGAGATGATATCGAAATTCTGTCGGAGAGATTATGAGGTTTCATTCGAGACATTAAATATTCTTTATATGAAAATTTCGTGAAGATTCTTTCATATAAATTTGGTATGATTTGATTTATATTCTTTTTCTATAATTATGAGGAATAATCTTTAATTTCTTTATTTCATCTTAATCTGATGGGTAAGAGAGTGAATCGTGAAACGGAATGAATTTATTATAGAGATTATATTATTAATAGTGGATTCTGATTATAATAATCTTTTTCCCAAATAAATAGGGATATGAATGGGGCCTAATCAATTTCGAGAAAATTTATTTGGGGGAGGGGATCGTAGAGGAATCTATAAGTCCTACGCCCTGAACTATTTGCATTAAGATTTATTTATAATTATTGGTCTAAAAGGGAATTCAATTCGATTTTAATTGATATTTCATAGAACTCTAAATAAAATATAATTGATTTGAAATAGAATTCTATTCGATACTAATTGATATAATAAAAGTCTAATAAGATATTAATCGATTCTAGAAGGATATTAATTGATCTTTAATAGAATTTAAAAAGAAATTCTATTGATTTGAAATAGATATAAATAGGGATTATTGAATATTATTTTTTAATAGCATGAGGTGCTTTGGAGGACGCATTTTATATAGATCACGAAAATATTAGAATTGGAATAGAATTATATACTATTCTAGATCTGAGGCTAGAAATGAATTCTAGGCTTTATCTTAGAATTGAACGCTTTAAGCTCTCTTATAATGAAGGATAAGGGAAAGGAAACGCTCTGGACTTTATAATAAAGATAAGAAAAAAATACAGAGCAGCCTCCCAGGTCTCCGGAGGCCAATCTAGGGTGCCCGAGCTCTATCGACCATCCCGGAGAGGCCCATTTTAGACAGGGACCTCGCCTAGCTCTCGGAATAATTTTGGGATCATAGATATGAAATAAAAAAATAATCACCCGATATTATATGAGCATGTAAGTAAATCTTCCTCATAACAATATATATATAAATAAAATATATTTATTGATCGTATGAGAAGACACGTTTGCAAAAATATTCATGTATTAACTATCTGGTAATCTAAAAATCTAGCCATATCTCATTCTGCGTGAGCCAGAAATATAGATGGGAGTATCTTTAAATATATAAGATTTACTATATCAGTATTTATCTATCGTAATTTTTCTATTGAATGAGGTCTCTACAAAATTTCTATAGACTAGAATATAATATATATATTATATTTAGGTCATATTTATTGAATTATACCTTGCTAGGAAAAATCAAATAGGTGGTCTCTTTGCTTGGCCTATTAATTGGGAATGGCATTCCCAAGATACTTATATTAGGAGAATATCCTAGTATCAGCATCAATAACAATATACTAGAGATCAAGTGCCTTTTTCATGAAATTAATATGCTTCGTAGTCCTTATATGATCTTGATCATATTCATTGGATTAGGAGAAGCCTGCTTAATATAAATATATATTTAGCATGAAAACTAAGTCATAAATATATGCTTACCGGAAGCTACACTATATTTAATTAAGATGCGTGAATAAGATTAATATATATATAAGAACTCAAATGATTTAAGATAAGCTATAGTCATATATTTCAGGTACGATATCCAAGAATGGTTCTCAAGTTCATAGCGAATATTATGGTCAGAATATCCTCCATAAATATATTGGGAGATGCTATCATATAAAATATATTTGTCAGAATTCATGAAATTATTATAAGGAGCCGCAATCTGAATATAAAGATATGTCACCATGAATTCGGCATAGATAAATCTCCAAAACGCCGCAAAATATTATATTTGCTTTCCATAAATCAATCATAGCAATTATGGAAGTATTCACTATATTTAGCAGGGCTTCAAGAATCGTTCATGTATCATTTGAATTTAAAATTAGGATCTTATTTGAATCCTGCTAATATCTTCATATTATAAATATAGAGAACTTACTATCTAGATAGTCCATATTGGGGGAAATATTATGAAACTCTACTAGCCATATTGGATGCATTAAGGGAGGTCTCCATCAGTATATGAAAATGATTAGGTCAGCAAAGATATTCAGAATTTGGAGAAACGAAATTATCCCAATATATTTTGTCAATTAAGGCGTTGGTTCCCTTGCTATCGCCATATATATATATTAACTATTGGCGGGGGCCCCCCTCCCCCTCCCCAATATATTCGAAGACAATTATTATGCCTATTATATTCTTTTCTTGATCCGTCTATTCAATTATATAAATTTATATTATTTAGTATATTTGGCTGCGCTATGCTTAATATAGTTGTTATAATATTTATATTAGCAAGAAGGCAAGAAAGCTCCCCAATATGATTAATCTAGCCATCATAATATATATATATATATCTTGGGGATATTCATTCCTATGGAAAGGCCTCTCCTATTCCAATTTCAATGGGAGAAATAATTTGCTTGATTATGGTGTTCATGCGCCTAGGTTCATACCGTACGATAGGAATATATATTAAATATATTGGGAAGGGCTTGCCTAATTCTGAATATATTAGAAATTACCCGTGCAATATACTTAGAAGAAGTACCACAATGATTACAAGCTCCTTAATTGACATATATTGAAACATGAAAACTGATATTATATCATGAATCTAATGAGAAAATATTCCTAAAGATATCAGAAAGTTTCCCGTCAATGTCCAAATAAGCACTACGCTTCATAAGATTATGGCAGAAGCAGTGTAAGATATTATACACAAGAGCTATGCAGATCCTTCAAGGAATTGGATGCACTATATATTGTTTAAGGGATTCTATATAAAAAAGGATTGCATGTAACTCAGGGTCGCAACAAGGCTCTTTGATAAGTATGTTAACATATATACATATATGGTTTTCCTGATGTAGTATGTTGAAGATATTTCAAAGCAGGCTTTAGATAGAGATTATGAGAATATTATCCACAAGACTACACAAGGAGGTATATGAAGGCTTTGGACGATTATATACGATACTTGTATGGGGGTTTGTACATGATATTTGACTCAAGCCCATCGATATTACACATGTTGCTGATAATGGTTCGAAGTCTAGATGGGATTAGTTTACATCCTTATCTGCCAGCTTTATCCTTAAATCTCAAAGTCTCATAAAATCTTGCATAAAAATGCGGATATCTCCCCATATGCGGAAACCATTCAAATTCTAGAAAAATGATGAAAAAAGCACGTTTACTCGAGAAAACCAGCCCTCCACGCCGTCCCACTCTCTTGTTTAATGATCATTATTCTATTCTGATGGATTCGAAAAATTCTTTGTAGAAGAGATAATTATCTGGATTGATCGAAATTCATAATCTTATAAGAAATCGATATCT